CCATGGGGATGCCACGCAGCCCCACGCTGTCCCTCAGGGAAGCCAGGACTCCCTGGGGTGCAGAACTGTGCTCACCCACGCCGTCCCTGCCACCGGCTCAGCCCGTCTCTGTCCCTGGGGGGCTGCAGCGTGAGCCTGGGGGTGGCCGCCCCCAGATTGTCCTCGCCTGACCCCACACCGTCAGACGCAGAGGCTGAGCTCCTGACGGACGGAGCACTTGCGGCACTGCACCACGCAGCACCAGTGGAAGCGGCAAAGGCAGTTCTCCTCCAGCACCACCGTCTCGTCCCGGTGCCCTCGCCCGCAGCACAGCAGGTCGCACCCACTCGTGTCCATGGCTGTGCTGTTGCAGACGCGGCCCCGGGTGCCCAGCGAGCCCGTCTTACGGTTAGCTGAGCAGAAATCGGGTGAGTCGGCCGAGTAGATGAGGTCCTGCTTGTCGGGAGGCTTGATGTTCTCGCCCACAGGGATGAGTGTTTTCCCATCGTTGCCTCCCATCACCTTGAAGGCCCCATTGAAGCGCTCGAGCAGGCGGTCCCCCACCTCACGGAAATGGGGCATCTTCCGCCAGCAGGTCCGCAGGGTGCAGGAGCCCGACAGCCCGTGGCACTTGCACTCTGTCCTCATGTAGCTGCGCACTGCCTGGGGAAGAGACAGCGATGCTCAGCCCTCGCGCCCTCACCCGCCCTGCCCAGCACTCCCAGCCAAAACCCTGCTTCTTCGTGCTGCCCTGGCCTGGGGCAGGGTGCTGGGGGGCCACAGGGAATTTGTAAAGCACCTGATAAGGGCTCCTGCGAGATATTGGGTCCTGTTTCACCCAAAGTTGGTGCAGGTAAACGGCTTGGGTGAGACAAAGGTAGAGGTCTGAGCTGGGTAGAGGCATGGGGGGTGATGTTTGCAGAGGGCAGGGAGCGCGGGGGCCTTACCAAGCGCCCGGCTTCATTGTTGTGCAGGTCAATGAGAGCTCGGATGTCGTTTTTGCCTTTCTTGCTCTTGGCATCCATGAACTGTTGAGATTTCTCGTAGCCGAACTGCACATCATCCCCGCAGCCCCCCCACTCCCAGGCTGTGCCCTCCATGCCTGGA